GAAAGAGTTAAGTGCAAGATGATTTAAAACTTGCTCAAGTAAATGCATTCACCTAAATCATTAAGTATGGTAGACCTAACTGCTTCAAGGTTAGGTGTTTAGTCACTATGTACCTTTGCTTTCAGGTCAGTATGGTGGTCCTCCACAGGGCATGCCTGGTTATATGGCTGGTGGCATGCCTCCTTATGGACAGAGTGCCCCAATGGTGCCTCCATACCAAGCTGGGCCTCCTATGGGCATAAGGCCACCTGTAATGTCTCCTGGCAGCCGATACTGAAATGTCGCTGTCATCCCACTAGGTTTGGAGGTTAAACCTTTTCTCATCTTGTGCTTTTAATGTAGCCAATCCAATGAGCTCTAAACCCACTGCTGAAGAAAAACTGCATACTGGACATTTGAGAGATGTAATATCACACAAGAATTTTGGATTCAGCCCTTAAATAAAGACAAAGAAGGTAACAGCAGTATCAGTGTTACAGTTGATACATGTATTGCTTTTTTCCTATTGTTTCATTCAGGTTGTACAAGTACAGTATATTAGACAAAGGTTCATAATATATTGAAGCCGCTGGCCTAACAGTATCTCCATACTCAAGGCAAGTTCCCAGTAAGATTTCTGCTTTTATCTTAGTATTGAAGCCCTCACAGCACCATACTGTGCTGTTGGACTCTACGTCCCCAACATCAGCTTGGTGAGGGCTTCAGATCACTGTTGTCATGGTGTTTTGTTTTTTTTGTTTTCTTTTTGTTTGCATCCATTCATTCAGGGTTTAAATAGCACAAGGGTAGATGTGTCTCTCTGTAATTTTTGTTTGCTATATGTATTGTAATAAAACATACTTAATTTGGTATTTTTTTTCTTCTTGATTTTGTTTTTGTGTGAGTGTGTTTCCTGAACAGTGGAGTCTTCAGGCAGGTTGGTTTTCTTGATAAAGCCATAATGACGTTACAGATACACTCACTCTGTACTAAGTTTGTTCTGGAATGTTCATAAAGGTATTTCGTGTTAACACTATTGAAAGTAATTTATAGTAAAGAGTAAAGCTGTAATCACTCCTTAACATTTTTAATGGTTAAGTTATACATTTTTGCTTAATAACCTAGTTGCATGAATGAGTTTTCCAGAAGTTGGATTTAAAATGCACCACACATTTGTCTGTGACATGCTTGATTGATATTTCTCAGTTACCAGTATTATTTTCGTACAATGGCTTGGAAGCATTTCCTGGTCTGCAGGTAAGAGCCACTGTGTGAATTACATTGTAAAGGATCTGATTTTACTGCATGTTTTTGAATTTCACCCATGGTTTTACTTTTTCTCATGTAATGAATTGACCAGAAACTGTTTTAGCGTTTGGGGAAAAGCAGGAAAAATGTACTCAAGATATTTAACCAGTCAAGTATTTGCCAGACAGTCATGCTATTTAGAGTAACATCTGTGTTTAGATCTATCAGATTTTTCATGACCTTAAATCAGGGGTTGCCAACCCTGCTCCTGGAGAGCTACTATCTTTCAGAGTTTAGTTTAACCCTAATCCATAACCATGTAACCATAGTGTTTATGATTACTTCAAAATTACAGGCGTGCTATTTGATTTCACACCATAGGTTTACATCTTTCCTTCCCAATTTGGTGTTATTTTGAAGGAAAAAGTTCTTTATTTATTGTTGATAGTTAAGTCAGAACATATAAACTCCGTGCCGAAAAGTATTCTTAGGATTTATAGCAGAGAAGGTAGTTTGTTTGTTTTTTGATGTTACAAATGTGAAATAAACATCTGTAATCTAATTTGACTGTGTGTCATTGCTTGGATTTTAATATGCAATATACAGTACCAGTCTAAGGATTTTTTATTTGTTTTCTACAAATTGCAGTAGTAAAGCGAAAAGAGTAAGACATCTGTCACGAATTGTCTTAGACCACAATTATGCTTCTAATCCAAAGGTTTCATGAACCGTATCTTTTTAATTTTGGTATTCCATTTCTTGGGTTTGGATCAAAAAGGAGTGCATAAATTTTTATCTGCGTTAATCTTTCTTCCAGATCTATTTAACCAAAGCTACTAGTGCTTTTGGATCATTTAGAATAGCAGAAATCCAGTGCTTCGCTAGCCCTAAACGTTAGTTAAACCTTAAATAGTAAAAAAAATCTAATTGACCTGGGGCCTGTTCTTCATTATTTTATGACGAATAAATCTCAGTGAGTAAAACTGGCTGTGTCTATAGTATTAAAGACTACACAATATTGTTATATTAAAGATAATATAACAATATTGTGTAGTCTTTAATACTATAGACACAGCCAGTTTTACTCACTGAGACTGGTTCTTCGAAGCTCATCCCGGCAGGTCCGTAAACTTAAACCTGCTCGGGAGCAGCTTATTTCATGTAAACGGGATTAGATGGCATCTTTTTAAGCAGAAATCATATTTAAAATCTGTCCGTTACCAACGCTACTTTATTACAAGGGTACCCTACTAATCCGTGGACAATAATTTAAAATAATAATTTAAAAAATAATTTAAAGATAATATAACAATATTGTGTAGTCTTTAATACTATAGACACAGCCAGTTTTACTCACTGAGAATTATTCGTCATAAAATAATCACTTCATAATTGTATTCGAGTCTTACACACATGCTATACAGATAATATAGAGTCGTGCATTAATTTGAGTGGTGACGGCTATTATGGGAGTAGCTTGATGAAGCGCTATAGACACAGCCAGTTTTACTCACTGAGATTTATTCGTCATAAAATAATCACTTCATAATTGTATTCGAGTCTTACACACATGCTATACAGATAATATAGAGTCGTGCATTAATTTGAGTGGTGACGGCTATTATGGGAGTAGCTTGATGAAGCGCAGGAGATGCAGATAACATGATCTTGACCCTTAAGAAAGTTTAATTAATGCTGTCACGTAACAAATGTTTTCAGATATAAAATTAAATGAATTGCTAATTACATTGAAATATAAATGTAAAATATTAAACATCGTGAATATAAATAATTGGGAATCATGTAAAAAATTAAAATAAAATAAAAACAGTGCACATTTCATTTATCTATTATAACATTTATGTAGTTTCCTTATAAAAGTCCAGAAATTTGTAAAGTTCTTCGTCAGGTGTCTTTTTTAATTATATGATGTCATTACGTTGCTGTCTTGCCGCCAGCCAATCGCTGCATTGCTGATCGTGGTTTCGAGTATCGATACATAGCCCCTTTTAAACCAACCCATGGACGCGCAATTATCTCAGATAACTCAATCCAGCCATACTAATTATCAACAACAGGTGCGTTCGAAGAACCGAATTAGCCAGATCCTGGTTAGCGCGATCATATCATCTTGGATGTGACATTTCATCTCGGATGTAACAAGAGATGTACGAAGAACGGGCCCCTGTTCAAAACATGTGAGAACACACTCTACAAAAAGAAGAAGCCACATTTTAAAACACGTTTACTGTGGTTTCCTTTACCTCTTGCAATTTAAAAAGCCTCAAAACAACACCCCTTACAAAGGTGAAGTTTAAGACATTTTGTTAAACGTTTTGTTATAAACATTTTATATGAGAGCATTAAGAAAAAATGCTTTTGTGTAGTCTGCATACAACACTGATACTTGGGAATGTTATTTGACAAGGTTTTTTTGTTTGTTTTTCACAGATTATGTTGAGTTGCAAGGTGTCTTTAAAGGTGTAAAATCATCTCCACAGGGATCAATATGATATTTATTTTCAATCTTCTCCCATGTTCATGAATTGAATCAATAGCAGACTGGTTGGAACTTTGTTGGTGGTTAGAATATACAATAATATTTACAGTAGTAGTCAAAAGTGAGTCAGTGCCCACGAGAATGGCTGCTGTAATCAAAAACAAAGGGAGAAACAAAATAATAACTGATTACATTGTAGTCATTGTATGCTTTATTTTCTGTGAGCTTTTTGTTGTTGTTCCATGAAATGCTGGAGTTTGCATTTCTTGCCCAAATAATTGTAATTTAATAACTTAACCAAATTTAGTTTATCTTCCTCCCATACTCCTTTGAACATTACAGTCCTTTTTGACCACTTACTTTCCCACCCTCTCAGATGTGTAACAGCATGTGCATGTCTCCTGATGTAAACTTAACTGACATGACCAGCCTGTTTCTGTTCACCAATGTGTCTGTGTTCTCTGTATTTCCACTAAGAGGCACTATAACTATTGATCCTGTGATATTAATAAAGTTAATGTCCGCCGAAGAAAGGTATTCGGCACTCAAAAAGTAAATGTACAGTGCCGTCCATTGGAGCATATGTTCCACACTCTAAAAAATGCTGGGTTGTTTTAACCCAACTCTGGGTCAAATATATGGACTAACCCAGCTGTTGGATTACATTTTTCAATTAAAGTTTTTACCCAAAAGTTGTTGACCCAAAGATGGGTTGAAATAACCCAGCATTTTTTAGAGTGCTGATGTATATTTTTCATATTGCTAATCTGATGATAACAGGCATAGGCACTCTTTTTGCTAGAAACAAGCAAAACAAGCAAAGCGAAGCGGTGTAATCAGTAAAGAAATGACCGCTAAACTTAGTTTTTATTTTTATTTTTTATTTTTATTTAAATGCCAAAAGAAAACAGTGGATATGCATTTCTCATCTTTCTTTTTAGATTGTGATGAAGCACTCAAATTAATTATTAACCAATTATTATGGCTAGATTATTATTTTTAACCTTAATAATCGATTGAGATTGACTTGTACTTTAGTGGTTGGTTAGACACCAATGATTTATGTGTAAAATAGCCTGCTATCATTATTTGAAAGTCTAATTCAGAGACCACTATTAACTAGTTGCTTATTAGCATGCATAGTACTAACATATTGGCTGTTTATTAGTACTTATAGAGCACATATTAATGCCTTGTTCTACATGACCATATTCTACATCCCTTAACCCCATCTTAACAACTACCTTACGAACTGTTAATAAGTAGTAAAAAGAGTTTATTGAGGCAAAAGTTGTAATTAATAGTTAATAAGAACTGGTCCCCAAACTTAGTGCGACCTTGTTATTAAATACATATTACACTTTTGACTTACTTATTAAACAAGTTAAGTCACCTTTATTTATATTGCACTTTATACAATACAGATTGAATGTGTCAAAGCAGGAAAATAGTTTGTCAATAATTAAAGAGGACAGTAAGGAACAGTCAATTTTTCAATATAAAGATGAATATACACAAAAATCTGTACATTTTCACAATGATGAAACTGAAATTGACAAACCACTTCACTCTTGTTTCCTTTTCCTCTTCAACCTTCAAGGTGGAGTCTAAACACTGTGCTCCTCATTTTTACGTGGCATGATTTACACTCGGAGACTTTCTGGCTTTCTAACCATAGTCACTATTTTCTTTATTTAATTTGCTTTTTAATAATGTTTGGTCTTAAGTATGCTCATGTTGTTCTCTTGTTTCTTATCGCCTGTTTTTTAACTGGTAAGTTAATATTTCACTCTGTTTTAACCTTTTTTTTTATTGTTATAAAAGCCTGAATACATTGTGGTAATCTCATAAAATGTTTTTAAAAGTTTACATGCAGAAATGTTTGTCCACAACACTTTGCAGTCAGACATGCTACATTTATGCAGCAAAAGTGTCCTCATAAAACTTAATGCAGAATTTTATTTTGGCAGTCTTAGAGCAGTTGTGTTAGGAAACTGTGTAAGTTGCATGTGTTTTGCAATGCATGTGATTCATCTATAAAATGTGACTAACTTTAAGCCATTTCACCTCAGCACATGGGGGTATTGTTTATATCCACAGAGTAAGAAATTCATCCATTGACAT